CTGCCTCATCGCCTTTGAAAATATCCACCGCAGTTGTGGACGAAACGTCAGGAAGAAATTCCGATAGACCACGGCTTCAAAGCCCGGAAAACATTCCTAAATGTAATACATATTTAAATAAAGTAAATTGAGAATAGCTCACCATGACGCGCATTAAAAGAGAATATTATCATTCTTTTATCATTTCTCATTACTTAGGCAAAGTACTCCAGCGTTCTTCTTTTTATGGTAAATACTTTATTACTTACTATATTTATTACTTATTATATAAATACAATATTTTCATAATTGAAACTGAATACATTGGACATCCTAACACTGGTAGCATTAGGTATTTGATGAAATCAAATCGCATTACTTGATGGATATAGGGTTTCTTTATCATAATAAGTCAATATTAATAGTATAACTAATTACATATATTTGAATGAATAATAAAATAACAGTAATAATTTACGTTTCTCCGGGAGCTTCAATCATCAAGTACAAACTGGTTAGTTAACTACAACTGTAAATGTCAAATCTTTCTTAGGAGACTTGTAGGAACATGATAAATAACGGTTAACATAATAATTTCAATGCTCCCGTCCTTTCCTTATCGGGGCTTGTGACACATCTAAAACATGTTCTTGTTTTTAAAGTGGTAACTTCTTATGGCGTAATGGAGCGAGTTGAATGGAATGCGTTACGGCGTCATTAAGGCCGGGACACATCTAACTGATCCGACTCCGATCAGAGAACCTTCCGTCGATGTCCAAATAATCGGATCGGTGCGTGATCGGAAAGGGGAAGCCACACATGTCATCCACGTTTCAGTTTCCGTGCCGATTTTTGGACTAGTGCAAATCACAGAATATCAAACTATTCCTAAGACCAAATGTCCAAATGTATTAATTGGATTAACATTAATTAACACCACACAATAGTAAAACACCACATTTTTACGGAGTTCCAAAAATTCATAAAGTTAATATTCCTTTACGACCAATAGATAGTAGTATAAATTCACCTACACATCCCTTAGCCAAATATCTTTTAAACATTTTAAATCCCCTAATAAATAACACAACTTCCTATATTAAAAATTCTGAACATTTTTTACAAAAATTATCAATCTTAAAGAACGCACACAACTAAGCATTAACACCATTATTGAACTTTTAACAATATGTGTAAAGTCAACTTACTTTCAATACAATGACAATTTTTATCAACAAAATTTTGGAATGGCTATGGGGTTACCACTATCCCCATTTTTTAGTAATTTATTTATGGAAAATTTTGAATCAACTTTCATTAATAATTACAAATTTAAACCAATAATTTGGTGCCGTTATATTGATGACGTATTCTCCATTTACAGTCATGGCGAACAAAAACTTGATGAATTTTTATCTTATCTGAATAATAAAGAACCAACAATTAA